CGTCGAAGCTGGGGAGCTAGTCAATTGGTGAGGCTGATGGCGGCTGTCATGGCACGAAGAAGGTTGAGTACCTCAGAATTTTTGCCCAGCAAGCTGACTGGGATGCCCATCATGACTGCCACACGTTCGGCGGTTTCAAGAGCTTCAGCCGGTTGGCGTGACCACCAAGTCTCTGTCTTGGTGATGTTCTCGGTAAGAACCCTGCGCTTTGGTTCTGATATTGGCAGGTCTTTGAGCCATTTGTTGAAGGCTCTGACAGCCAAGGTGGTTGGCATGTGTTCTGTGAGCCAGGGATTGACGGTGGCAGGACCAACCAAGAGGCACGAGGGATCGAATGATGGTGGTGGTGGTGTTGGGCTTGTGGAATTTCTCAGTAGGGCTCTTTGGATTGGTGTGGCGGCAGGGCTGGATGCCGATGGGCAAGTTCTTGGAGGTGTAGCGGTGTCGCCAAGATCTTCTCCAGCACGTTGACGAAGTTCAGCCAATTCATTTCTGAGCCTTGTGATCTCATGTTGGGAATCTGGATCGGTGGTGTGGGCAGGAAGCCAACTTTGAATGACTTCTGCTATCTGTTGAGCAGCGAATTTTGTGTTGTCTGTCTTGTCAAGTAGTTTCCCATCCTGTCGAGCTCGGAAGTGAGAGACTTTGTCCAGGTCGATGCCTCGGTTTCTGAGCTGCGTGAGCATTTCAGTGGTGAATACAAGCTGCGATGTCCCCCGTGCGGATCAGGTAAACTTCACGACCATGAGCCAGCTTCCGAAGCCAGTGATTGTTGGCTTGTTGGTACAGCAAGACGGCCACGGGTAATGACAGAGGGTCACACCCCTCGATGTCCAGCTTTTGAGTAAAAGCCGATTGTCGAATTGATCGAGGGAGAGTGAGGCCATTGACTTTTTGATTGTCATAGTGATCCCGGTCCTCTTGCCCATGAGGGTTTTAGTCGAACCCATAGACTCTGGTTGCCTCATTGTTTCCGTGCCTGGACGGTGGGTTTGAATGAGGAGTGGCGTTGGACCGAGGCTGAGGTGGAGAGATGGAAGGTGTGCCTGGAGAGCACGGTTGTGTTGGTGGGCATGGCATCGTAGGTGGGCAAGTGGGAGTGATTGGACGTGATTGTGGGATATGGCAGTGTGGGTGGCATGGAACTGGGTGGAGACGGTGGAAATTGCTGAGATTGCCAGTTCTGTGGTGTATTGAGTGGTGACGGTGTCCACATGCACCCATCATGTAAGGTCCCGACGGATTCATTGGCCAGTTAGGTCGGTTCTGACGGCGTGACATATTCTGAAAGTGCCGAACCGACGCGTTCATAGGTCCACACCATCGAGGAAAGAATGGTAGTTCAGAAGGAAGAGGGGGAGCTTGTCCACGTGGTTCAAGTCGATTTCTCGACGGCAACGGAGAGCGAGAACGATCAGACTTCGCCATGATGAGGGCGCAGTTAACTAATCACACAAACCGCAGAGCTCTAATGAGATAGACAGAAATAGTACAGCAGAAAGAGTGGTAGAAGTGTTGCAACATCCATCAACGAAATGTCATGAATCAAGCAACATGCATTTAACGAAATTTGTGCAGCAAGTGACATGAGGAGAAAATCAGATTAAAAACAAATCGAAGCAAATCCTGTAAATCAGATTGAGACGACCTGTAAATCAGATTGAGACAGCCGTGCAGTCTTTTCCCGTAGACTTGTCCAGGTTTCCCTAGAAATGGATCAGCCGGTTTCCGGTCTGACAAAGAATAGCCATGATATAAACTACAAAACTCAGACCTACCTATGAGACGCTCGTTTCTGTGGATCTTGAGAGCCGGGCTGTTGTTCCTCAGTACGTCGGTTGATGCCTCGGTATGTAAGGTCCTCACTGGATGACCGTTCGTCATCATCGTCGATCTGCAAGTTTTGCCATTTTAAGGCAAAGAATTTCAGCCCGACATGTTTGCTGTGGGCAATCATGTATTTTTCCGACGTCGTTGCTATGGCCCTGCCGGCTCCTGAAATCTGGGCTGTCTCGTCTCGTTGCCACCAGCTTTGCAGCTGATGTGAGCTTCAGCTCCTCTGTACAGGGCCCCAATTAGCACATCTTGTTGTCCTTTCCCTCGTTTCTGAGCATTGTCCATCAGTTCTTTTGATGCCCAATCAGGAAAGTGGTCAGTTTGAGTGATCTCACGACCAAGGTAAAATGCACCGAAGGTCGGTACGTCGGACTTGGAAGATTTTTGTTGTAAGTCCAGTTGGCCGGGCGAATGAACCCTTCCAGCAAGATGTTGCATGCTGATTGGATGGGGGTTCCATGGATCAAGGCCCAGGTGTGATGTTGAACCCCTTTGAAGGGTGGTGGCATATAGAACCGAGAGATCTCCGGAAGTGGGAAAACCAGCGCCAACACATTGGTATTCTTGAGCTCGACCACATGTGCCTTGGAGAGTTCATGGAGAGTTCAAAGTCTTGGAGCAATCGGGCGCTGGAAATCAAGCTGATTGCCTGCCTGGCAGTTTCCTCCGGGATTCTGCGATCTACAGCTCGAAGGAAGGTCACTGCGTCGTGAAATTGCTCGATGTCGATGCTGGCATTTGGTTTTGGTCGTTCTGCTTCCCGGAGTTCGGATGCAGCCTTCATCCGCTCACGATGGGCTAGGCCGAACTTGACCCATTTTACCCACTCTGTTTTGTTGCCATCATGAAGAGATATCTGCATGCGGCCAGACGGTAATGACGACGACCCACGGGAGTGGTCCCCCGTGTCTGACCTGTGATGCCGTTTTTTTGGACCAGTGATCATGAGCGGAACTGGAGAAGGCTGTTAGAGGTTTGGAGTGGGGAGCCGCAGAGAGGCGGGCTACAGGGTGATGTGAATGGGAGTGAGCGTTGTCCCAGGTAGAGTGCTGGTGGGTTGTAGAGTGGGAGGAGGATTGGTCGTTACTGGTGGGGGTCATCCATTTGCCCCAGTCGTCCCAGTCTTGCCATTGTGATGGATCTTGTTGACGATGTCCTCGATGATAGTAGTCCTCCTTAGTGGTGGGTTGTTGCGTGGTTCAGGTGGACGGGAAGACACATCGTAAGAATGGACAGATTGGTCCTGATCGTGGTCGTAGTGTTTGGCACGACGGAGAGGAGATGCTGACTTCAGCGTGACGGATCTGCCTCGGTCGCGTCGATCTCTGACTCTAGATCGATCACGGTCACGTGGAGGTGAGAAGTCCCGTGATGATTGCCGACGATGACGAGATGATATCCTGCGTCGTCGAGGACTGCGGTGAGTTGACAATGGCCTTTTGTCAATCTCTGGTGTTTCAGAATGACGTCGGATGGAACGGGATCGTCGTGAATGATGGGAAGGTTGTGGAAGAGGTGGAGATAGGTGGCGGTGGCGAATGGAATGTGATGGTGCTGGGATCGATGGAGGAGGAGGATGTGGAGTGTGGTGAGGTGGACGATCTTGAGACTTTTCCACCACAGCGGCCAGGCTGTTTTCGAAGGTCCTCTTCATTTGTTGCAACATCTCAGCGGGATTGAATGGTGTATCTGTTGGACTTGGTGCGGACACCTGAGGGGTCGGTGGTTCAGGTGCACTTGGTGTTGGTGCTGATGGCGATGGTTGTACCAGAGGTGAGACCGGTGGTGGTTGTTGCTGGATTTGATGATGAGGAAGAAGTTGTTGCAGATGGTTGATGTGAGACTGGGATTGATTGTGGAGTTGTTGATTCAGCAACGCATTCTGTTGTTGGAGAGCTGAGATCTGTGCCTGAGCCTGAGCTTGGGACTGTTGGTAAGATGGGTCACTGCCGCAAAATTGTCCTGGAGGTACTGTTGATTGAGGAGACGTAAATGATGGAGTTGACCATCCGAAGTTCCACATCGACTCTGGAAAGTTAGGCCAGCGACCAGGGAACATGGCGAGAAAAGTCAAGTCTGATAAATGCCTAAAACAACAGTTCAAAACATGATGCATCCACAATCCATGCAAAGGTCGTGATAAGGCTCGACACCCCTCGGTCATCAAATCAACCCCATGGACGACTGTCAGTAGTCAGATGAATTACATGCACATTTGAACCGTGCCAACAACCATAAAGAGAAAGAAAGACCACACCTAAAGTCGTGTGCCTGCCTGGAAGATCTTTTATGATGCATTATAGCTGTGACAGTTCAGTTACACTCTCGAGCAGTGAAACAAGAAAGTTGTCGCGGCTGCAGACTACAAGTGACAGTAAGGCAGATCCTCTGAAAAAATGAAGCCACACGGCGGCAAGTTGTTTCAACACTCACTCGCCTGATGGGTGAAAAACGAAAAAGGGCCAACTGTTCCACTTACTTAAACGAATTACTAACTTAAAATGCGTGAATTCAGAGATCAGGTCGTTGCTTCACTCTCCTGCTTAGACAAGCATTCCCCGAGGGGTTCATGCCACTGTGACGAATCCAGCATGAATCACACACTTGCTCAGAACAATCTTTGCGAATTCTGATGTGGAATGCATCCTACGTGCAAAAACAATCCAGTTATACCTGACAGGCCGGACCCGAGAAATTTCGAAAAGTTCTTCAATGTCAAATGAAAAATGCAGATTGCGACAACAGTGCAGTAGAAAAGAAACCTCTCAAAATGGAAATGATCGACATGCCGGTTCTAGGCTTAGCCGGTTGCCATTGACGAGAAATTGTAAACCTGAAGCTGAAAAGGCAGGTACGTCGATGAGCGTCCCCATCGATATCACAGGCATCTGATGAGCGTCTTTGTTAGTGCCGGTCTCATCAGTGCCCCCGGCACCCCCTGCCTTTGAAAACTGGAAAATTAGAAGTTTCACATCTGTTCAGATGGTTCACACACACAGAGAAGAATGCAGCACTAGGATTGCTCTTGGCAAATTCCCTGCAACTTGGTGCAAGTACGATTGCACATAATACACAGTTTGTCTTTCTAGATGCTGGGAACCTGGTACAGTAGGGGCAGACACGCCAGCATGCCGCATTTTCTCTTGAGGAAACTGCCAAGCTGCAACCGCGCTGATCTGGAGGATGCGCATTCCACAACATGCTCCACTGCCTCCAGCCTGCTGAGTCGAAAGCAACACTTCTTGTTGGCGTGGTCAGTCGGTTTCGTACACCAATACATTATCAAACACCATGTCGAACAAACACCATCAAGCAGCATTCAAAACGCACCAGTTCGGCTTGTGGCCGAACTTCACTACGCGCATGTTGCGTCCGCAACAACAAATTTGCACTTTATCATGGCTTCCGGTTGCTACATCTATAGATGGACTGCAGTGAAGAAAGAAAACTTCTGCCACGTCAACCGATGTGGCGCAGCGGCCCGCACAGATTCAAATGATTTGCGCTGAAGTGCACCTACGCGTTCTTTGTTCTTCGGCATGTAGTCAAAGGGTTTGTCCATAGAGATCAGCCTTAGCATGCCCACTGACCCAAGCAGCCAGCCACCTTGTAATTCGGCCAAATGTTACCAAACTAAAGTATTGGTCAAGCCCCCACACAAACGTTGTGTAAGGAGCCAATAAGCGCATATGGTCCAAGCCAAGCAAGCATTGATGTGGCTCAAAAACGAGCTAACTCTTCAAAAATGGTCATCTGGGTTGCTCCCAAGAACCCTAAATACAAAGGCGGAGATACAGAGGTAACATTGCCCAGTTTCCCCCTTGTGGCCATAATTTATCCTTGATGGGTTAGAGAATCACGGGTCATAATAGATGAAGGGTTGAGAAATTCAGCAGGTGTGGATCGCACATGTGAAAGGAATGTTGGGCGAACATGATCGGCTTTGTCGCGGACGTGCAAGCAGTGTGATAGGTTGCACGGATGGAAGTTGGGTGGCAGACTCAAACAGAGACCAACAGCCAATTACAAACGCAGCTTTTGATCTAGCCAAGTATAATTTCAGCAGCGCGCTGTCCGGTCGTGACCAGACAGATGCATGTTGATGCCTATACTGCGACATGATGGCAATGTGTGTGAGAACCATCTGAACAAATGTAAAGCTTTTACTTTTGGATTTCCATTAGTTCGGGCCTTCTTGAAAGCTTCCAACTGGTGATTGTCTTACTCCTCGTTTGTGACATTTTGTTTTCCAAAGAAAATCGTTTGCAAAGGACCGCAGGGAACGCCATAGTTCTGCAGACAACGAAAACGGCCATGACATTCTGTGATATTGAGGCGGGCGCCAGGCTGACGTAGCTGCTTCAGACATAGCAGGCGGCCAAACCAAGAACCGCCAAGCCGATTTTGTTCACAGGCTTGCCGCAATCTGGATGTGTTTCATGTCCTTTTCCGAATGCACTCTGGGGCTTGGGGGTTGAGGGTGTGTACGCCAGACGTTGCGCAACCGCTCGCAACCGTCCGCAACCGTTCGCAACCGTCCGCAACCGTTCGCAACCGTTTGGCCGCAAAATTTGGAGGTTTCAAACGTCGCGTAGCCTCGTTTCGCGTGGCAGGCGTGGTACTTTGTGACATTCCAACATGTTTCAAAATGTGTCGAAAAGCCTTTTGTGTGACAGGCGCAATACTTTCGCGTCGCTTTCAGAAGATGAGATACATTTTTCGTGGCAGGCGCAGTACGTTGGTGACCTCCGTCGTGATTTTGCATGGCAGGCGCAGCACTTTAGACGTGTTGTATTGCGTGTTTTTTGCAAATCGCATTGTCAGGGCTGCGTCAAGCGGTGACAACGTGCAAATTCTGTGGCAGGCCTGGCATTTTGTGACATGTGATGAAAAGTGACGGATGCCTCGCACGAAACATCGATTTGGTTGTTGATCAAAATTCTTTATATTCCTTTATCATCCTTTATCCGCAAACGGCCATTTTTCGCGAAAAATGTTACTTTCGCGGAACTTTCGCGAACTCCACGTTTATCCCCCGCAGAGCCCATGTTGGGCAACAACACTTCTTGATAGCCTTGTATGCATGCAGCTAGCATCACGGAATCCCTTCTCAGGACAGATTGTTGCTGACTAGTTTTTTTTTTTGCAAGGTTTACTGGGCCGTCCCCTTCAAAATGCACTTTGACTCTCGCCCGCTCCTTCGCAGAACTTTCGCGAACATATCCCTATTCACGGACCCCGGCCATCAGCAGAGAGCGCATCAAAGGAAAACCAAATACCAAACACCATGCAGGGGCCTTGGTGTTTGGCTCTCGCGCAGCCTCACTTTTGGAAACTTGGCTCCTGCATGTGGAGCTTGTTTCTCTGTAAAAGGCATCATTAGGTGCAGTGACAGCGGCAGGTGCAAGGATACGCTTCAGGACCATGGTGGTTGGCCGTGGCGAAGCCTCACCTTTGGAAGCTCAGCTGCTACCTATGAAGGGCAAAAAGCACCACACAGGGAACTGAACCAGAACCAAACCGAAATTCTCCAGTACCCTTCTCCTGCCGGACCCCGGGCGGACGAGGGTGGCAGCCCCGTACAAGTTATATACAATGATGATTATAATATTCAACTTTCGCGAAACTTTCGCGAATAAACATGTTACTTTCGTGAACCCGAAAAACAACTGTCGCGAGGGTTCGCAACATAACATGAACGGTCTTCGCAATTAAAACTCTTGACCAGGACCTTTAGATCGATTACTACGATTACCATTTAGGAAAACATCGGTTTTGAAGCATAGAAGCGTGAAAATTTGAGGAAGACTCGCACGAAACGCTCGTTTTGAGATGTGTAACATGTCTCGTCTCGATTCTCTGGTTTTCTTGTAGCGTCGCCTTGTCTATGGGAGAAGCTGCAAAACCTCTCATTTTTCAAGGTTCTCAAACAGGTTCCAATATGTTCCAATGTCGTTTTGCGTGGCAAGCGTGGCACTTCGTGACATCTCACGTGTCTGAAACGGTGTCGAAATCATTTTGGGTTACAGGCGCGCTACTTTTGCAAGGTTTTCAGAAGATGAGTTGAATTTCTCGTGGCAAGCCAGCACTTTGGAACCTCCATCTGTTTTGCGTAGCCGGTGCAACACTTTAGACGTCGTGTTTTGTGCAAATCGCATTGTCAGGGCTGAACCAAGTGGTGACAACGTGCAAACCGCATGGCCGGCGTAGGACATCCTGACATTTTCGTTTTGCGTGGGACGGGCAGTATTTGGTGCGGACCCATTGTGTGTGGAATGTCATTTTGCGTGGCAGGCACGATTTCACAAACTCTACACTCTACACTTTACACTTTACACCCCACACTCTACACTTAACACTCCACACTCTTACACTCTTACACTTTACACTCTGTGCTCTACACTTTACACTTCACACTCCACACTTTACACTTCACACTTGACACTCCTGACTCTACACACTCCACACTCCACACTCTACACTCCACACTTTACACTTTACACCTTACACTCCACACTATACACTTTACACTTCACACTCCACACTTTACACTTCACACTTAACACTCCCAACTCTACACACTCCACCCTCCACACTCTACACTCCACACCTACACTCTACACTCCACACTTTACACTCCGCACTCTACACTCCAGACTCCACACTTGGCACTTTGCACTCCACACTCTACACTTTACACTCCACACTCTTCACTTTACACTTTACACTCCACACTCTACACTTTACACTCTACACTCCACACTCTACACTCCACACTTTACACTCCACACTCCACACTCTACACTTTACATTTCACACTTGACACTCCTGACTCTACACACTTCACACTCTACACTTTATACTCTACGCTTTATAGTTTACACTCCACACTTTAAACCTTACACTTTACACCTTACACTTTACACCTTACACTCTACAACCCACACTCCACACTTAACACTTTACATTTTACACTTTACACTCCACACTCTACACTTTACATTCTACACTCTTTACTTTACACTCCACACTTTACACTCCACACTTTGCACTTTGCACTGTCTTTACACTGTCTTTACACTCCACACTCTACACCCTACACTCCACACTCCACGCCCCATTTCCACACTTTACACTTTGCACTTGAGACTTTACACTCCACACTCTACACTTTACACATCTTTACACATCTTTGCACATTTTTACACATCTTTACACTCCACACTCTACACTCCACACTTTACACCTTACACTTTTTACCTTACACTTTACAGCCCACACTCCACACTTAACACTTTACATTTCATACCTTACACTCCACACTTTACAGTCCACACTCTACACTATACACTCTATACTTTACACTCCACGCTTTGCACTCCACACTTTGCACTTTACACTGTCTCTACACTCCACACTTTACACTCCACACCCTACACTCCACACTCTACACCCCATTTCCACGCTTTACACTTTGCACTTGGCACTTTACACTCCACGCTCTACACTCCACACTTTACACGCCACACTCCACACTTTAATTATACTCCACGCTATCCACACTCCCCACTCTACACTCTGCACTTTACAGTCCGCACTTTACACTTTACACTTTATACTCCACACTCCACACTTCACTGCGCACTCTACACTTTCCACTTTACACTTTGCACTCCACTCTCTACACTTCACACTTTCCACCCCTTGCTTTGCACCACATACTTTACTCTTTGCACTCCACAATCCCCACTTCACACTCTACACACTACATTCCGCACTCAGCACTCCACTTTCTTCACAGTCCACACTTTGCGCCCCACCCCCTCCCACATTCCACAGTCTACAGTGCACTGGTACGGTACCAGGGGAAAAATGAACAAGACTGTTCAAACAATGCATTTTAAAAAAGTGTTTTACGTGACTGCATTCGGGTTCGTGGGCTGCATCTTTATAATTTGGTTTATTATTTGAACCTCCATGTTGGTTTCTAAGGGCCATTTGATGGGGTGACTTTGTATTACTACTGGATTTCACGCTGGAGCTCCTCACGTTGATCGGATATTCTCGGAAATTGTCTTTATTATTCTACGAATGTCTACTTAGGCTCGGTGTCCAGGATTACACCCAAGAAGGGGTTCAGTTCCCAACAGATCACTTCAGTGTTTTTTTGGTAAAGGTGTGCGTGTTTGTGGGCTTGCGCGGTGCACCGGCGGATTCCATTTATTAACACAGCATGCTTACAAGGCTGGGCTGGCTTATGCTGCTCGAGGACCAAGCAATATAGTCATCTGCAGTAGGACCATGCTGATAGTCGCAGGAATCGAAGGACCCCAAAGCTGCGGCAGCAAGACTCCAGCTCTGGCAGAATTCCTTGATGCCATGGGAATGCTCAACATGACAAACTTAAGTCGCTAAGTCAACAGCCAGCTAGAAAGCTTGGCAAACCCTGCCCTATCTTATTAAGCTCATGTTTCACTAATATTGTAAACTCTGAAGATGTACGAGTAATTATTTTGATGTCTTGTTCGGCCTCTGTAGTTACTCAGCGGCACAACCCTAAGCAAGTCTAAATCATGTTTGAGAGACAAAACCAGCACATTGGAATTCAAAAAACATGCACCTCTTTCTCAAAACACCAAAACCAAAACATCAATCCTCATCTGCTTCCTGACTGCTTGAAGTAGCCGCTGCTGCTGCCTTCTGTCTACAAGCGTCTCTTGCAAGAAGCGTCTGGAACAGCGTTTCGTACTTGTTGTGGTGATAATTCAATTTCACGCCGTAGAAATTCTCCGCCTCAAGAAAACAAAGGTTTCAAGCAGAAATACAAAAAAAACATGCTAAAACGGCCGATATTTTGAGACAGACTCGATCTTACTGCATCTGGTCAATATGATCAGCTGACAGCAGTCGTGCGCGGGTGCTTTCACGCGGAAAATTTGAAAACTGACGTGCGCTGAGACTTGATGAAGCGAGATATGTGTAAGTATTCACTAGTGATGCCCACACACCAGTACAAAAAGCAATTTCGTATACACATACCGTGTGCGTGACGCGTGCCAAAAAAATCCAGCAAACAAACCCAAAAACAAAGTATCAACCAAATTAAATTCACTAGATAAGTTAATTAAAGGACCGGAGAACCCCACAAGTCAACTTCTTCCAATAATGAGCAACAAATGTTGTAGCGGGGACGGGGAAGGAAGGAAAGACAAAGGAGGTGGTGGAGGACCGAAAAGTAAAACAAGTTGTATGTGAAGAGTTGTGTGTGACAAAGCGGTATATATGAAAGATTGTGTTTGACGAAGAAAAATGGTGTGTGTGTGTGTGCGACAAAGTTGTGTGTGAAAGATGGTGTGCGACAAAGAAAATGGTGTTTGTGACAAAGTTTTGTGTGAACGATCGTGTGTGTGAAAGTTGTGTGTGAAAGAAAGCGGTGACAAAGTTGTGTGTGAAAGATGGTGTTTGACAAAGCGGTGTGTGAAAGATGGTGTGGCAAAAGATGGTGTGTGACAAAGTTGTGTGCCAAAGATGGTGTGGTGAAAGATGGTGTGTACCAAACACTGTGTTGGGGTTTATTGGCATGTCCCTTTTGCACGAATCAATCTCCACACGCAAGTGTCACACGCGAATGTCACAAGCATTGCCAAGTCTCCAATGTCACAGCTGCAAAAGAACAATGTGCACGGTCCCAAGGTGCCGTGCAGAGACATCAAAGCATGTCACTTACAGCTGTGACTGCGCAAAACGAAAAGTTCATTGCTGGATAAGGCACTGACATGCGGCATCACTGCGGACTTTTTTTGCCAGCGCTCCAATGTCATCTGCTTGGCATCCGATTTCTTCCCACGGTGGGTCAAAATCAAAACGCGACACGAGCCTTCATGAACTGAGTGTAACCAGTCATGTCTTTCCACGTTGGATCAACAATGCGTGCAGCCAAAACAGGAAAGAAAGCTTGCGCATATGAAATTATACGCTAGCATGCTGAATAGCATCGCAGATTTCCCCGAAAGCCGGCTTATTCCAAGGAGAGACCTTGCCGTCTTCCACGAGAGGCACACGAAGATAAATTGGATCATAAAGCAACTTCGCACGTAAAGCCAGTCTCTGCCCATCCGAAGACACCAGCACATGAATGTTATAGGATGTTATAGGTTGAGGTAGACTCATCAGCACGAAATTCGGACAACGCCCGCTTTCCCAGTTTCACGTTGCATCGCAGCATCTCATAGAAGCGTTGCCGGAGTTGCTTGGCTAACGGACTGTCTGGGCACCGAAGGTCCACGTCTCTCAGTTGAACCTGGTCCAAATTTCGTAGCATCAGAGTCTGAAGCTCGCAGAATTCTTGTAGCGGACTGGTGCCAGGCTGCGGTCTGTAAGCCGCAGAAGTGGCAGCAGCCTTACCGATGACTACACGAATGTTCACTGGAGGCGGATCGTTGCTGGTAAGCAGTTTCAGAACAACTTCAGGTCCATGCGCAGGAACTCGCTGGCTGAGTCTTGGCCGCGGGAACACCACGATGTCCTTTTCGGAGAGGTGAAAACTGGCAACACCCCAGTAATGGCACCAACAACCAAATGGTATGGCATCGAGCCTTTGTTGGCCCCTGAGGACAAAAAGCTCCGCCACGACGCTTCCAGAGAGTGCTATCACAGTGCAGCGAATGTGGTCGTCGGCAGCATTTGTGGGAGGCCTGCTGGAAGGCAAAGGGCGCCAAAGAGCCGAGCGGCGCAGCGACTTGGCCGAGAGCCGGCAACGGGACTTTCTGCAGCTTCTCGCAGAGCTGCGCGCACATCTTCCAGTTTGCGTGGTAGTTTGAGAAGCTCTGCAGCTTGCTCTTCCAGCGTATCTTCACTATCAGATCGGCTCAGCTCACCCACCAGCGTTGACAAAGTTGCTGTGAGGCCCGAGAGAGCACCTGGCAGAAGAATTTGAACCAGGACACACATGTGTGGCACAACAGAGCACATGCATCGAAAAGGTATGACAAAGATCACGCCGGAATCTTTATCGGTATCGGATGTCCGCTGCCAGGGACGCTGGCAAAGCAAATCTTGTCGTTGTGTGGAAGAGCCATGGTGTGGCTTTGGACACTCACAGCAGACAATGTTCAACGAATGCATGTGACTCTAGTGACTGTTTTGAGGCGTTGGCGTGGTGACGGTATGATTTGTCATGTGCAGAAGAACTCACAGCTGCAAAAGAACAATCTGCAGTGCAGGGTCCCAAGATGCCGTGTAAAGACATCAAAGCATGTCACTTACAGCTGTGACTGCGCAAAACGAAAAGTTCATTGCTGGATAAGGCACTGACATGCGGCATCACTGCGGACTTTTTTTTGCCAGCGCTCCAATGTCATCTGCTTGGCATCCGATTTCTTCCCACATTGGGTCAAAATCGAAACGCATCGATTCACGTCAGGTCTGGGTGACCGAGGCCTAGATTTGCCGCAATGCCGGCAACATCGATGACCGATGCTTCTGTCTCGCCCAAATGAATGGACAACCAGTCTTGCCACTGGACAAAGACGCAATGCGCATCTGCTTGGGCATACATATATGCCTGCAACTCCCGCACGAGGAGCCGCGCAGCTCTGTAGCACGCTTTTGTGCAAGGGATATGTGCTGTCTGCTCTTGCAAAATGGTAGCATCGGCCGAACCAGCGTCTCTTGACAACATCATAGCAGACTGACCTGGAGAAAAGTTCCTGATCCCAAGGCAGCTTGCTCTGGTGGGAGCGGTGGCACAAAACCATCAGGGAAAGAAAAGCTTTCCGTAACATGTCTGACGATGCAGCAGTCCGCCGATGATTGATGGTCATTAACCAGGATTTCATGCTTGGGCCAACGAAATCAATCAGAATGTAATCTACATGCAGCCACTCTCCTTGGTTTCCTTGCACCTGCTGTCTTGCGAAAGCATGCGCCACGGGAACATGAGGTGCAACTGGAAGAGACGCGCGAGTGGTTGACGCAGCAAAAGCACGAGCGTGGAAATTTAAGCCATCCCGACATTTGCAACAGAGTCTATATGTTTGCAGCACATAACAATCGCGTCCCTCATCGGCAACAATCCAGATCATTCTGTCTTGCGCTTGGCTTCGTCCTCTGAATTTCAAAAGGATATCATGCGTCCTGGCAAACATTCTTCTGCAGGTCGGGTTCGCAACCGCCCAGCATTCGCATGGGACATGCCATCAAAGCGCCACCAAGTGCAACAAGCGCCACGCCTGCCACGCAAAACGAAGGTGAATGTCACCAAATGCCACGCCTGCCATGTGAAACGGAAATGGATGTCACCAAGTGCCACGCCTGCCACGCAAAGTACCGCGCCGCCACCGGCGACCAATCCGGGCCCAAGCGCGCCGAAGCGCGCCACCAAGTGCAACAAGCGCCACACCTGCCACGTGAAACGGAAATGGATGTCACCGGGTGCCACGCCTGCCCCGCAAAGTACCGCGCCGTCACCGGCGACCAATCCGGGCCCAAGCGCGCCGAAGCGCGCCACCAAGTGCAACAAGTGCAACAAGTGCCACACCTGCCACGCGAAACGGAAATGGATGTCACCGGGTGCCACGCCTGCCACGCAAAGTAACGCGGCGTCACCGGCGACCAATCCGGGCCCAAGCGCGCCCAAGCGCACCAACAAGTGCAACAAGCGCCACGCCTGCCACGCAAAACGAAAGTGGATGTCACCAAATGCCACGCCTGCCACGCAAAACGAAGGTGCGTGTCACCAAGTGCCACGCCTGCCACGCAAAGTACCGCGGCGTCACCGGCGACCAATCCGGGCCCAAGCGCACACAAGCGCACCCAAGCGCGCCACCAAGTGCAACAAGCGCCACGCCTGCCACGCAAAAAGAAGGTGGATGTCACCAAATGCCACAGCTGCCAAGCAAAACGAAGGTGCATGTCACCAAGGGCCACGCCTGCCACGCAAAGTGCAAGATGGTGTGTGACAAAGTTGTGTGTGAAATATGGTGGGTGACAAAGTAAAACGAAGGTGGGTGTCACCAAATGCCACGCCCGGCACGCAAAACGAAGGTGCATGTCACCAAGTGCCACGCCGGCCACGCAAAGTACCGTGCCGTCACCGGCGACCAATCCGGGCCCAAGCGCGACCAAGCGCGCCACCAAGTGCAACAAGTGCCACACCTGCCACGCAAAACGAAGGAGGATGTCACCAAATGCCACGCCTGCCACGCAAAACGAAGGTGCATGTCACCAAGTGCCACACGTGCCACGCAAAGTGCAAGATGGTGTGTGACAAAGTTGTGTGTGAAAGATGGTGGGTGACAAAGTTGTGTGTGACAAAGTTGTGTGTGAAAGATGGTGTGTGACAAAGTTGTGTGTGAAACATGGTGGATGAAGTTGTGTGTGAGAGATGGTGGGTGACAAAGTTGTGTGTGACAAAGTTGTGTGTGAAAAGTTGTATGTGAAACATGGTGGGTGACAAAATTGTGTGTGAAAGATGGTGGTTGACAAAGATGGTGAGTGAAAGATGGTGTGTGGAAGATGGTGTATGACAAAGTTGTGTGTGAAAGATGGTGGTTGACAAAGTTGTGTGTGACAAAGTTGCGTGTGAAAGATGGTGTGTGACACCAAGTTGTGTGTGAAACATGGTGGATGAAGTTGTGTGTGAGAGATGGTGGGTGACAAAGTTGTGTGTGAAAGATGGTGTATGACAAAGTTGTGTGCGAAAGATGGTGTGTGAAACATGGTGGATGAAGTTGTGTGTGAAAGATGGTGGGTGGCAAAGTTGTGTGTGAAAGATGGTGGTTGACAAAGTTGTGTGTGAAAGATGGTGGGTGACAAAGTTGTGTGTGACAAAGTTGTGTGTGAAAAGTTGTATGCGAAACATGGTGGGTGACAAAATTGTGTGTGAAAGATGGTGGTTGACAAAGATGGTGTGTGAAAGATGGTGGTTGACAAAGTTGTGTGTGAAAGATGGTGTATGACAAAGTTGTGTGCGAAAGATGGTGTGTGAAAGAGTGGTTGACAAAGCTGTGTGTGAAAGATGGTGGTTGACAAAGATGTGTGTGAAAGATGGTGGTTGACAAAGATGGTGTGTGAAAGATGGTGGTTGACAAAGTTGTGTGTGAAAGATGGTGTATGACAAAGTTGTGTGCGAAAGATGGTGTGTGAAAGAGTGGTTGACAAAGTTGTGTGTGAAAGATGGTGGTTGACAAAGATGTGTGTGACAGATGGTGGTTGACAAAGTTGCGTGTGACAAAGTTGCATGTGACAAAGTTGTGTGTGAAAGAGGGAGGTGGAGGAGGCGGAGGCGGAGGCGGCGGCGGGATACAGAATCAAAAACAAGAACCCCGCACAAAGATGTGGGGAACAACCAAACAGACTTGTTTCTACTCATGAACGCAAACATTAATGTAACGCGTACTGCGTGTTCTGTAAACAGTTTTGAACGTCTACTGATCGGGGCATCTAGATGACGAACGCAAGCGCCAATGGAACTCGCCAACTCTACCACTCAGCAAATTTCCTTCACTCATTCAACCATGTTTGAGTCAGCCCCTCACGAGCTCTCAGCAGCGCAGCTATTTTGCTTCTGGATTCATGAGATCAGGGCTGTAGTCCATAGATGTGAGACAGTGTGTTTCTCAGGCTTTAATGTCCTTAACGCGCGTGAAATGTCGGGTTTTTCTATGTGCGGGCGAAAGAAGGAAATTTAGCAAAACACAATTTGTTTTGCAAGCTTTGTGGCCTCCGGGATCGCGCATTCCCCGCGTTTATCACACATGCATCCTGGCTTACAGGGACTGCTTGACATGTTTTTTGCGTCCAAGGCAGGTAAATGCATGTGATCTTGGCTGGAAGGCAGGTGCAGGCCAAAGTCTCTACGGACTGCAACCTTTGCTTGGCCAAGTCAGCCACTCAATCATCCAGTCATTCAATGCAGGCAGTTCAGTCGCAAACCGTCCCGCAGGCAAGTCATATGCCATAGACACTAGACATTCTGGAACCTTACGCCCTGGGGTGGCCGGGCACTATGTTGTGAACATGGCATATTTGCATATGCCTGCCTCCAAGATATACACAGGCATACGAAATGTAGTGTGCAGGGGGCATCCATCAAATTACAATCAAAACAAAAAAACGCCTTGAAGGTAACAGGCATACGTATACATTGACATGTGTAACTGCAGTATATACACAAGATACAAGAAGACTCAGTTGTGCAAACCCATGCATACAAAGAAACACCCCATAATGCAAGGCAGGCACACACACACACATCTTACAAAGAGAATTCCTTCCATCTTCTTCTGTCATGTATCGACATCGTCCATTTCCCTTCCGCAAACTGCCTGGTCCAAAGAAGTTGTGCACTCGGGGTAGGCAGTGCAGAACATAGAGCTTGCTGGGATATATGGCAACACCGGGCGGCTTCCGTTCACCTCCAATCAAAAACATGAAACCATTGAAGACAAGTGCAGCACCGCAAACAAATCTAGCAATCAATTGGTGGCTCGGTCCACTGCAGCGGCTGGACACCGTAGCTAAACAGAAAAGCATGTCAAGATCTCCTTAAATATGTGGCATATTGCGCCATATGGTTTCCACGGAAAAGACAACGATTTTGACAGCTTGACAAGGCACGAGGACATGGGTTGGACCAGGTATGAAGTGATAGGTGTCCGTGAACCTCGGTGACTTGGAGAAGGAGGATGTTCCGTGTCTGTTTGGTGAGACCTAGCGGTGTTCTGGATCATTTGTGGGCATGTGCAAACAAAGCATATACATCCCGATACACGCACACACTCATATATATATATTACACACATGGCCATATTTATACGCGCATATGAACGTATACTTATATTAGGTAGATGTATATATATATATATATCCATATATATATATATACATGTATATATATGTGTGTGTGTAAAATCAAAAACGAGCGAATCTACCTGCTCATAGATACATATGTATTGTAAATGTATTTGTCAGGTTGTGTGTACAAATGTATATATGCATGTGTGATTTACTTGTGTACATGCAAATGTATATGTTAAAATAATGTATAACCGTAAGATCACTGTTGGAATTCCCCTGCTAACATGGACTCCAGCATTTTTTAGACAAAAAACGGTGGTCCACCTTGCACTACTGAAATGGCACATCTAAAGAATGCCTACCCAGGGTGCAAGGGGGTCTAAGACCATCTAAAAAATCATGGCCCAGGCAACCAGCTACAAAAAAATACAAAAAATACAAAAAAACTACAAATACAAATGCAGAACTCGCAAAATTGGAAGTCCATGTTAGCCATGTGGATGTCAACATGTATAAAAATACCAAATGTGCCCAAAAATTCAATCAGTGTGTCTATATTATTCCCTCTCAAAATGCCCTCTCTAAAAAATCCTGACCCAGGAAGCCTTTGCAAAAAATGGGGAGTCCGGGTTAGCCATGTGGAAAAACCACCTGTTTTAGCAAAAAAAAACGTTTTTTGCGACAACCCGGGCTGTCCCATTCTTTAGTGGGAATTCCAAGGAGGATACCGTAAGTAGATCTATATAAACATCGCCTTATATATATATATATATATGTGCACAAATCTATGTATGCATTCATGTATACACGTATGCATGTAAATGTGTATGTATGTATATGTATATATAAGATATTATGTATATATGTAAATACGTATATCCGCAGACCCCTGCCTAGCCTTGGCCTAGGCGGGGCGGCGCCCGGGATCACCGCAGGTGTGCGACCGTGGCAGTGGCCTTACTTGCGCAAGCTTTGCCAGCTCCTTCGCAATAATTGGCTCGTCTCTGTCAGCAGCCTACAGCTTTCGACGCCCTACCTGTGCCAGCTTTGCCAGCTCCTTAGCAATCATTGGCCCGCTTCTGTCAGCAGCAGCCTACAGCTTTCGACGGCCGCCGTGGCACGCTGCGTAAGCAAACTGGGTCTATCTTGGGCCTACCTACGGTTTCGAAACCCTGTCAACCTTTCTTCACAGCGTTCCCGCCTTTGTCAATGCCGCAGCAAGCCGCGTAAGCCCCGCAAAGTGGGTCTATCTTGGGCCTACATACGGTTTCGAAACTGCTACGTGGCAGTTTAGAGCCACCCTTGGAAACCTTAAAGCCCTTAAAAGCCTTAAAACCTCATAAAGCTTCAATCTGGCCGGCCTTTGTCAGCACCTCCAAAACCTTAAAATTGGCCAAGCCTCCGTTCCTGCCTCTGTAAGCCTCTCAAAGTGGGTCTATCTTGGATCTATGAAGATGCTACGTGGCAGTTTTGAGCCACCCTTGGAAAACCTTAAAACCTAACTAGCCGGCCTGTGTCAGCACCTCCAAAAGCTTAAAATTGGCCAAACCTGCCTGCCTTTGTCAACGCCGCAGCAAGCTGCGTAAGCCCAGCAAAGTGGGTCTATCCGGGGTCTATATACAATTTCGAAACTGCTACGTGGCAGTCTTGACCCACCCTTGGAAACCCGTAAGACCCTTAAAACCCTTAAAAGCCTTAAAACCTCAAAAAGCTTCAAGCTGGCCGGCCTTTGTTAGCACCTCCAAAAGCGTAAAATTGGCCAAGCCTGCGTTCCCGCCTTTGTCAGCGCCGCAGCAAGCTGCGTAAGCCCCGCAAAGTGGGTCTATCTTGGGTCTACGTACGGTTTCGAAACTGCCATGTGGCAGTTTTGACCCACCCGTGGAAACCCTTAAAATCCTTAAAAGCGTTAGAACCTCAAAAAAGCTTAAAACTGGCCGGCCTTTGTCAGCACCTCCAAAAGCTTTAAAGTTGTCCAAGCCTGCGTTCCTGCCTTTGTCGACGCCACAGCAAGCTGCGTAAGCCTCGCAAAGGGCGCAAAGTGGGTCTATCTTGGGTCTATATACAATTTCGACACTGCTATACGTGGCAGTTTTGAGCCACCCTTGGAAATCCGTAAAACCCTTAAAAGCCTTAAAACCTCAAAAAGCTTCAAGCTGGCCTACCTCTGTCAGCACCTCCAAAAGCTTAAAATTGGCCAAGCCTGCGTTCCCGCCTTTGTCAGCGCCGCGGCAAGCTGCACAAGCCCCGCAAAGTGTGGAAACCCTTAAAACCCTTAAAAGCCTTAAAACATCAAAAGTCTTAAAACTGGTTGGCCTTTGTCCCTCCAAGCCGCGTAAGCCCTGCGAAGTGGGTCTATCTTGTGTCTATATACGGTTTCGAAACTGCTACGTGGCAGTTTTGACCCAGCCTTGAAAAGCCTTAAAACTTTAAACCCTAAGACCCTTAAAAGCCTTTGTCAGCACGTCCAAAAGCTTTAAAGTTGGCCATTGAGCCACCCTGGGAAACTCTTAAAACGTTTAAAACCTTTAAAAGCCTTAAAACACCTGTCCAAAAGCTTAAAATTGGCCAAACCTGCGTTCCTGCCTTTGTCAACGCCGCAGCAAGCTGCGTAAGCCCCGCAAAGTGGGTCTATCTTGGGTCTATATACGGTTTCGAAACTGCTACATGGCAGTTTTGACCCAACCCTTTCTTGTTGCAACTATCCTTTACCAGTAGTACCGCACAAGGCGGTGGCGGAAGTTTCAAAAATAGGAAACCTATAGGAGACGTTGGTTGTTGTGAATCACGGATGGCAGAGCGAATCCACTGATTGACCGAAAGGTGGTTGGAGTTGTGTTTGCTGGAGTGGTTGCAATGGTTGCAGTGGTAACCTCACCCACAACTGCTGGATGTAGTGTGATGTACTGCAACTGTAGTTGTAATTGTAGCGTAGTGGAGTTGTAGTTGTGGTGTAATGTAATTAGTGTAGTGTAGTTGCAGTCATATAGTTGTAGCTGTAGTTGTTTTGTAGTTGTAGTTGTTGTAGTTGTAGTTGTTGTAGTTGTAGTTGTAGTTGTTGTAGTTGTAGTTGTAGTTGTTGTAGTTGTAGTAGTTGTAGCTGTAGTTGTTGTGTAGTTGTAGTTGTTGTGTAGTGTAGTTGTAGTTGTAGTTGTTGTTGTAGTAGTAGTTGTTGTTGTAGTAGTTGTTGTTGTTGTAGTTGTAGTTGTTGCTGTTGTTGTTGTAGTTGTTGTAGTTGTAGTTGTAGTTGTAGTTGTTGTGTAGTTGCAGTTGCAGTTGCAGTTGTAGTTGTAGTTGTAGTTGTTGCTGTTGATGTTGTTGTTGTTGTTGTAGCTGTAGTTGTTGTAGTTGTAGTCCGAGTTGTAGTTGTAGTTGTTGTGTAGTTGTAGTTGTAGTTGTAGTTGTTGTAGTTGTTGTAGTTGTAGTTGTAGTTGTAGTGGTTGTGGTTGTGGTTGTTGTTGTTGTTGTTGCTGCTGCTGCTGTCGTCGAAGTTAGGGTAGTTAAGTTAGTGAAGTTAGTTAAGTTAGTCAAGTTAGTTAAGTTAATCAGTGT